GACCGTGAGATCGTGACCTGGCTGAAGTCGGACGCTTAACCGACTGCGCCACCCAGGCGCCCCTCCAGCCTTTTCTGTACCAGCTTTTGTTCTGAGGGGTTCAGAGGGGTCTGTCTGGCTTGCTTCTGTAATGCTGTTCTACTTAGCTGTGTAGATATCCTAATCCTGATCATATGGTGTTTATGCTCAGAATTTCATATGCGAGAAGGTATTTAATTGATCTTTGGGCTGTGGAACTGAGCTACAGAGCCAATGGTAGGGACAGGCTGCTTTGAGCCCTCACCTGGGATCCCCCGGGGTGAAGTGAAGAAGCTGGGCTCACAGATGATCTGAAGGTCCTTCCAGGCTGACCCCTGTGATTCACAGCACCAGCCTTTCTGGTTGCTCCACAGAGGGCCCAGGAGATGGACAGAGAAGCTGGCTTTAGTGGCCAGTTGGAAGAAGGGTGTTTGGAGAGTATCAACTGAAGCTAGAATTCCCTTCCCTTTCCTCCCTCTTCCAAAGAACCGGGATCTGGCGACTACAAGGGATGGGAACGGCCATTTATCGATCAACTCCGTGGGGTCAGATGAGAGTTCAAGGCCCCTTAGGTACACACCTATGGAGCAGATATGCTAAGTGGCTGCCACCACAACCTCCCCACCCACCCACCCACCCCTGCCCAGAGGAGTCTACATATTTGGATCCCACTCAAAATGTCACTTCCTCAGTGAAGCCTTCCCTGACCCCTTGACCAGCCCAAGTTCGGTGTTCCCGTCCTACGTTCTTATGGCTCCCCATGCTTTCCCTTCATTGCACTCACCACCAATGTAATTATCTGTACAATCAAGGTTTTCATGCCCGCTCCACCCAAATCTCCATGAGGGTGGGGACCGTAGAAGTCTTGTTTGTCACCGTATTCCTGGAGCTTAGCACAGTGCTGAGAAAATAGTTGCACTTCAGGAAGTATTTCTCGAGCAAACGGAAGCACGAATGCGGAACGAATGGATGCAAGGCAAAGCTGGTGACAAAGCCAGAACTGGCTGGCTCTCAGAGACCTGAGATTTGAGACACTCGTACTCGCGTGCTTGTGCCCAAGGGCCTCACCGCTGTCACCTTCCTGTGACACCGCCCCGTCCAGTAATAGAGTTTTGACTCCTGCAGGGGGAGTGATGGAGGCAGAGCTCTGGGCCACACTCTTAACCTGTCTTTTGTCCCCAGAGGCGTCTAAAATAGCGGGGAGATCATAGATCTAGCCTGAGACTGTGGGTGGTGGCTGGAGATGGGTGGGAGGGGTCACTGAACTGCCCCAAAGCAAACATCCTTGTGGGCATCAGCTTCTAACACGCTTTGCCAAGGGGCTGCAAACACAAAACTGCTCGGCCGGGGATCTGGGTCAATGAGAGTGGGTGAAAAGGAAGGAGGACGGACCAAGACAGGCAACCTTTAGGGAAGCAAAAATAAAATTCTAATGTGGAAACTGCTGAAAATAGACTGCATGGCTGTCGGGCTGCATGCAAATCCAGTGCTAATTACATGGAAATTAATTACAAGTCCTAATTTCCATATGCCTCGCTAGGACCCTTGGGGGGAGGGGGCGTCCTTGCTGCAGGTGTCTGGTCTCACCCCCACCCCCACACGCCATTGAGGAGGCTCTGATGTCGTCTCCTTCACACTGTCGCCACAGCAGTGAGAAAGGCTGATAGGAGGCTAAAAATACTAACAATAGAAATTTGATTTCTTCTTCCAGACAAAAAGCCTTGGCATCCACAGGAGGGAGAAGTGTTCAGGCAGCATGTGACTGGTTGGTATGAAATAAATAAATAGAGAAAATAGCATATAATTAACTCTAAGTGCACGTGGTTGAGCAGGGATGTGCAGCCTTTCTCTAACGGACTGGGCGGGGGGTGGGGGGCAAAAGACCGTGTGACAAGCCATGTGACATGTGACAGGGTTATCAAGCTCACGGCCTCCTGGGTCTTGGTTCCAGGGTGTGCTTCTCCTTAAAGCTGTTTAAAGAAATTCAAAGCATTTCCAAGATACAGCCCCTAACACAGTATCTGTCCCCCGACTTCACTCAAAGATACACCTTAGGTGCGTGGGTGCTGGGTGAATCGATTTCAACAAAACAAAACAAAACAAAACAAAAACACCTTGCGGGACATCACTGCCCAGGGCAGGTCCCTACGCTCCTGTCTGGAGGCATGTGGGTTTAATCGTAGGGATGGATTTTTTTTTTTTTTAATGTTTGAGAGAGAGAGAGAGACAGAGACAGAGCATGAGTGGGGGAGGGGCAGAGAGAGAGGGAGACACAGAATCCGAAGCAGGCTCCAGGCTCTGAGCTGTCAGCACAGGGCCCAATGCAGGGCTTGAACCCATGAGCTGTGAGATCATGACCTGAGCCGAAGTCGGAGGCTTAACCGACTGAGCCACCCAGGCACCCCAGGATGGATTTTTAAAGCACAAAAACGAAAACCCATCCGCTTACAGTGCCTGGGGTATGGAGCCTTTGGAGGGCGGGCGGATCTGTCCCTTTCGGGTCTTCCTTCCCTTCCATTGTTCTCAAGCGGGTCCTGCTTGGCTCCCTCCTCTCTGGCAGGTTGTTCTCCCACGTTGGCGACCCCTTCCTGGATGACCCCCTGCCCCGGGAGTACGTCCTCTACCTCCGACCCACCGGCCCCTTAGCACAGAAGCTCTCCGACTTTTGGCAACAGTCGAAGCAGATCTGCGGGAAGAACAAAGCCCACAACATCTTCCCCCACATCACCCTCTGCCAGTTCTTCATGGTGAGCCGCAGACCCTGCCCCAACCCCCCCAGCCCCTCAGCCCCTGCCCGGGGAGCCTGGCTGCCACACCCCAGCCAGCGCGTTGGGACCTGGAGTCAGAGTCAGCAGCCTCGGGGAGCTGGCCGAAAGAGTCACGGGCTCCTGGGCTTGGATGGACCGTTAAGGAATGAGTAAGGTCCCATCTGCCGGGGCCCAGGAGCACCCCGGGTCGGATGCACCATCATGATGATTGCTGTTCCTCAGGACTCTAGGGACAAGCCTGACCCACTGAGTCAGGACCTGGACGGGCGGCCCCAACACTGAAACTAAAGCATTTCCACCCTGGTCCACGGGTAAGAGTAGAAATTAGGGAGCTAGGAACAAGAAATGTGCTCTCCAGACACGGGAGGGGACTTTAGCCTCATAGACCCTCTGGCCACGAGTTTTGTCTCACCAGATCTTTCTAGAGACAGCAAAGATACATGTGGCCCGCCATAGTTACCTAACCTCCATAATCCTAGCTATCACAGAGCTTACTTAATGACTAAATTAAATCCCCCTCCGTGTAATAAGTATAAATACTTTTCATCTACTTTAGTTCCCTGTGGAGATAGAGCAGAATTGGCTTATCCAGGTGTATTCGAGATGAGGCAGAATGGTAGCACTTTTAGACAACATTTTCAAAAAGTATTTTCAAGTATTTTTTTTTCCAGATTGTCTCTGCCTCTTTAAGACAAACAAAACAAAACAAAACCGTGTTCCTCACACCTTCTTTCTTACCGTTCCCTCTGGGAATTATAATGATTATCACTTCCTCCCAGTCATTCCAGGATCTTTCTCAAGAGCATTCCGAACGTGAGAGACACTCATTTTCCCCCAGTGCTCCAAGAGGGTGGGGAGATGATACCGCAGCTCTCTGAGCTAGCGTGAGACTGGCAGCCGAGTCAACTTCTGATCATCCAGGGAGAACAGAAAAGTCACAGATGATGTGAGAGCAGGGGAAAGCACATCCTTTACCCTGAGATGCCGTTTTCTCCGGGCACATTCCCCCATTCTTCCTTCCCGCTGGACCAGGCTGCGCCCAGGGGCACAGCAGGGCAGGGCGGGGGGCAAGCGTCAGTCCCACGGCCCCAGCTGAATTTACCAGTTAGACGGCCCACGTCCGGATAACTGGGAGCCTGCAGTTCTCCTCCGTCCTCACAGACAGAAGCGAGGGTTTAGGGATGGCGTCCTCGGCCTCCAGCCCCGGGCAGAGGACGTCAAATGTTCGGTAGCGGTAGACCTCCGCCCCCCTCTGAATGGAGCGTTTTGTTTTCCCCTGCCAGTGTGAGGACAGCAAGGTGGACGCCCTGGGGGAAGCCCTCCAGACCACGGTCAGTCGCTGGAAGTGCAAGTTCTCGGCCCCGCTGCCCCTGGAGCTCTATACCTCCTCCAACTTCATTGGCCTCTTCGTGAAGGAAGACAGCGCGGAGGTCCTCAAGAAGTTTGCCGCGGACTTTGCCGCGGAGGCTGCGTCCAAAACCGGTGAGCTGACAGCTGCCAGGCCAGGCGTGGGTCCCGTTCATCAAAAATGGGGAAGGAAAGGGATCGGAAGTTATGGACGGCTGGGCTGGGGCCGGCAGGTGGAGGGCCCTGCAGGGATGCGCGGAGCACAGCCCTTTCCTGCAGCACCTGTGGGCTCCCTCTTAAAAATAGCAAACTACTGTTCTGCTAAGCCTCCTGGGAGAATGTCCAGCGTCGACCCTCAACAGCCAAGTTGAAGGCTCACAACTCACTGTTTCACACTGAAGCCGTAAGCGCATCCTCTGTAGCACCACTGTCTCTCTCTAGTTCAGAGTTAACGAACCTTCCTTCCCTGCCAGCCTCCCTGCCATGAAGGCCTCTGTCGGGGTCTCACAGCTCACTCCGTGAGGACCCAGGGCTGCGCTCGGCGGGGCAGCACAGCACAGAGAATAGAGTGGAGCCACTTAGTGTCAGAAAATAGATCCACCGGACCCATGTCCCGCAACTCCCCGAAACCCATTAGAGGGGTCCCGAAGCTTCAACAGTCTGTCCAGAAATGTCACCCCTTCAAGCTGTTTCTTGCTCTTTCCACGGCCGGTCTTAGTTCAAGCCAGCTGAGATTTCCCACCAAAGGAATTAGCTTAAAAGATGCTCAGGATATGTGTTGACTTAGAGGCAGGAAGCACGGAGAGGGGACAAGTGGGAGAAGTTGCCAGAGCTTTCCGGTCTGCCTATAGGTACAGACGAGCTCACTTAGGTCAAGGTGAGCCTTACCTGCAGTGGGACAGACAGACAGTGGGGTCGAGGGGGGAAGAGTTGGCAGGGGGCAGTTTCTGCTGGTTCCCTTGAGAAATCACCATCAGTGGGTATTTCTTAGGGACCGCGATGCGTTCATCCGTGAAGAAAGCAACGTGACAAGTGGTTTCTCCAGGCCCGAGATACAGGTTCAAGTACCTGTGCTCACAGAGAGCTCTGAGAAGAGAAAGGCCATCATAGGATGCAGTGGCTCCCCCTTCGCAAAAAAGGAAATGCATGCTGGGCTGGGCGATGTGGATCCCTACAGTGGAGAAAGGGCCCTGCAGGCAGGAAGGAACAAAGTGTGTGCAGAGGCCTGTGTGGAGCCCCCTCTCCCCGCCCCCAGCAGAGCAGAGCTGGGCGTGAGCGGTACAGCTGAATCTGAGCATCGCATGCAAACTGGAGGAGGTCCAGAGTTGGCCAGCACCCCTGCACCCCACCCCTTTCAAGGAGGGATGGAGACGGGAGAGACCTGAGTAAAGCTCCAGCTTTGCCCCTTGGTCTCCGAACCTCTGACCTATAACTCACCTGCCATTTTGCTTAGTGTTCTTTATCAGAAGAGCCCCTGTTAGGGCTCAGGATTCTAGAAAGAGTGTAGCGAAGGCTCAGCATCACCGAGCAGGATTGCAGGGAGGTCTCCCCTCTCAGAGGAGCTCTGACCCTTAAGATACCTCTTCTACTTAGGGAGGGGGGCTCCTTAGAGCCCCTCCCCAGGCACCCCTTCTTCTCCCGGGACGAGGCTCTGCTTTCTGACTTCGCTGGGGCCTGCCATTTCATGGCTTAATATTTCAGAGAAATGACATAATAGAGAGGCAAATTGTTTCCTGTTCCTATCCCTCCACTCAGGAAAATGACTCTTTTTCATCCCACAGTAGCTATTACCACAACCACTAAAACTCCCACAAGACCCAAAACTGGTGGTGTGGCCACAAAACTCAAATCCTTCACAAATGTATAAAGCGGGTCTCAGCCAGGGCTGTGCCAGACTCTTAAGGCGCATAATGAGTGAGAGGCTGCGAGGCCCTTGCTTGCTTTCCTTGTAGGCAAGGGGAGGGCCAGCTCTTCTCCAGTATCTGTGGCCACTCTCTCTAAGAACTTGGCCACTCGTTCTGTGCCCCTGTGCGGCCCCCTGGTGGCGACCGGGAGAACCGGGTGGCTCTGCCCTGGGTAGCTGGTCCAGCTTCTTGCCTCCTTATGTGGATGGCTGGCCATCCCGTCTTGGCCCTAGAACCTATGCCTCGATATTCTAGACTTTTCTGCAGACCCAGAGTCCATCAGCGAGTAGATTTCTTGTCCTCCTCCGTCCTCGGTGGCTTAAGGAGATTCATCATGTATGTATGTTCGATCATTGACCGAATACTAAAAGCCTAGATCACGTGCTGAGCACTGGGGATTCATTGCAAACAGGACACAGAAAACCTTGCCTCATGGGGCTTACACCAAAAAAAAAATACGATGTAGTGTAACAGAAAAATATCCAACTGCTACATCTGTCTCCCTGGGACATGAACAAGCCCCTTAATTCCCTACCTTCGCAAATTCCCTACCTTCCCTTTGGTTGTATCTTCTGCGCTGTTCTAGCTTGGACAGTAGATGGATCTCCCCCATGTAAAGATGTACAAAAGAGAAACATAATTCACTGTTTTGTTTGTTTTGTTTCTTACGGTGTCTTAGAAGCACAGTCTGTATACTTTTTTTTTTTTTAAGTTTACTTATGTATTTTGAGAGAGAGAGAAAGCACAAGCAGGGGAGGGGCAGAGAGGAGGAGAGACAGAATCCCAAGCAGGCTCCACGCCATCCGCACAGAGCCCGATGCAGGGCTAGAACTCACGAACCGTGAGATGACGACCTGAGCCGAAATCGAGAGTCGGACGTTTAACCGCGTCACCCAGGCACCCCACCAGTCCGTTGTATACTTTAAAGCAGTGGCTTCAGTCGGGGAGATTTTATCCCCCGGGGCACACGTGGCCGTGTCTGGAGTCGTTTTTGGTTGCCACAACTTCTGAGGTTGTACTACCGGAATCTAGTGGGTGGGGGCCGGGGATGTGGCCACAGACCCCCACAGTGCACGGGGCAGCTCCCACAACAGAGAATCATTCTGTTTTAAACCCTGGAAAACCCTGTCTTGGACCTTGAAAATATTCCATCTTTTCCCCTGGCTCCTCTGTCGGAGCCGCCCAGAAGCCAAGAGACGCGATTTCAAAACGACGGTGATCGGCCCTGGCCCGCACGCCGTCGCAGGATCTCTGCTCTGGCGTGAGTTAGCTCATCCTTTGAGGTCACGGTCTCCTCGGGCTGGTGATCCTCCGTGTATTACTAGGAGGCAAAGCCGACCCAAACAATGACCTCTCCGCTTCCCTTGTCGGGAGCCAGGTGTGGCCCTTTCCCTCTCGAACTGTAGGCTGTTCGCGATCTGTTGCACCTGCCTGTCCCCTTATTCCGCTGCTGTGAAGGACAGCAGCAGCTCTTGTCCGGCCACGGGACACCCTCCTTTGTCATTTGGGAGGCGGGATTTATGAGGGCAATCCTTCCGTGTTCTTCCTGGAGCCTCCACCGTTGCTCTGCTGACCACGTTCCGATAACGGTTCCCTTCCTTTGTTTCCAGAAGTACACGTGGAACCTCACAAGAAGCAGCTGCACGTAACCCTGGCTTACCACTTCCAAGCTAGCCACTTACCCACCCTGGAGAAACTAGCCCAGAACATCGATGTCAAACTCGGCTGTGACTGGGTGGCTACCATATTCTCGCGAGATATCCGGTTTGCCAACCATGAGGTAACGTCTCCCTGTGGCTCCTGACCCTACCGGAGGCACAGGGGGTGCGGCCAGAACTGGGAGCACGGGCAGCTCCCTGCTACAGGGAGATGGGGACCAAAGGAAAGCAGTGGAGTGAGCACCGGACCACAATTTCCTCCGGGCTCGGCCTGCTTCCTTGGGAAGTTCTGCGCTTCCAGCCCTCCTGCCCGGGTCCCAAGTGACTCATCTGTGTAATAGCCCCATTGTCCTGTCTGCCCTGCCAACCTTACTGGAATGATACAGAAGTGAAAAGGGAGAGCAGAAAAGTATGTTGGAAAGGATTTTAATTCTATAAATTCATGGCGTTAATAGAAGACCTCATCCAGATCTTAGGTAAGGAGGACACAAGAAATACAAATATATATATACATGTATATATATATGTGTGTATATATCTGAACACATAATTAACAGATACTTGCTAAGTATCTATGGCATGTAAGTTACCAGGGAACATACTAGAATTTTATTTTTTATTAATTTTAGTTTTTTTAATTTACATCCAAATTAGCATATAGTGCAACAGTGACTTGGAGTAGATTCCTTAGTGCCTCTTACCCTTTTAGCCCATCTCCCCTCCCACAACCCCTCCCGTAACCCTCAGTTTGTTCTCCATATCTATGAGTCTCTTCTGTTTTGTCCCCCTCCCTGTTTTTATATTACTTTTGTTTCCCTTCCCTTATGTTCCTCTGTTTTGTCTCTTAAAGTCCTCATATGAGTGAAGTCATAGGATTTTTGTCTTTCTCTCATTTCGCTTAGCATAATACCCTCCAGTTCCATCCACGTAGTTGCAAATGGCAAGATTTCATTCTTTTGGATTGCCGAGTAATACTCCATTGTGTATATATCCCACATCTTCTTTATCCATTCACCCATCGACGGACATTTGGGCTCTTTCCATACTTTGGCTATTGTTGATAGTGCTGCTATAAACATGGGGGTGCATGTGTCCCTTCAAAACAGCACACCTGTATCCCTTGGATAAATACCTAGTAGTGCAATTGCTGGGTCGTAGGGTAGTTCTATGTTTAGTTTTTTGAGGAACCTCCATACTGTTTTCCAGAGTGGCTGCACCAGCTTGCATTCCCAGAAATATACTAGAATTTTTAAATGTAGTCCTGTCCTCAAGGAGTTTGAGTCCAGCAGGGGAGAGAGAGCAGATACATGAAATAAAAAACAGAGGCGACATGTTGTGACAATTACGTGCATCCCCTGGGAGGCCTGAGTGGGACCGCTGATTCCCAGTGCATGTGGGAAGGTTGGCATAATCCTAGCATCCTTCTTTTGAGGGAGTCGATAGTGATTTCCAAGACAAGCCTATGCTACTCTGAAGAGTAATAGTGCCCTTTGTTTTAAGGAAAAGCTGAGACAAAGAGAGTGGCAAGTGGCTGGTCCACAGCTAATTAGCAATTTAGGACCAGAGCTGAAGCCAGAACCCAGGGATTCTGACCAATAAAAACAAGCAGCCCATCTGGGGAAAAAAAAAAAAAAAAAAAAAAAAAAAAGACCACACAGTTTAATGAGAAACTTGTCATCTAGTGTAAATACATGTATGAAATCGAGTTTGCTTCCAGTTTTTCAACAGTAAAAGGGCTGATATTTTTGGCAGGTTATCTAGCCTCTTAATATCTCTGTTGACTTTTTTTTTTAAGTTTATTTGTTTTGAAAGAGAGCGCACATGTGTGAGCGGGGGGTGGGGGGGGGGCAGAGGGAGAGAGAAGCCCAACGTGGGGCTCGATCCCACGACCGTGAAATCATGACCTGAGCCAAAATCAAGAGTCGGCCGCTCAGCTGACTGAACCACCCTCCTACCCTCTTGTAAAATATGAAACACGGTTGAATGAAATCTCAGGGTCTAGACCAGCTGATCTCGCCACGGTCTTGGAATGTTGAGAAGAGCTGGCCCATGAACCAGAGGTCCGGGCCAGGGCACGGGGCCTGCGGGCGTCAGGGACATGCAGCTTTGTCTGACCCCGCTGACGAGAATGTCCTGCCCTCCTTCCAAGTCATTCGATGGAAGTTTCTAGAAAGACACACCAAGGAGACGGGGCTTGATCTTGCTTAAGAATTCTGACATCTCCTGGAATTGCTCAGGATGAGCCCTAAATAGAACGAGAGAGGTGTGGCTGACCGGACTCCTCACGAGGACAAAGAAAAAGGAAGTCAAGGGTTGCATGCAGATGGGCTGTGAGAAGTCACCTTTCTCAGAGAGGGAAGGTGGCGATGGAATTTTACCAGGAATATCTTCTAATCAACACTGCCCTCCAGTTAAATCAAAGGGTAATTGCTTTTCTGCCTGACCCACATTCTGCGCACTTGGCACGGAGGGAAAGAGGCAGCAAGCGCCCACACAAATTATTTTCTAAAAATAACTTGGCCGCTTTTATCTCTGATTTGTAAAAGCTCATTTATTACCGTTCCTTCTGACACAGCTCTCTCTCTCTCTCTCTCTCTGAGGTCATTTGGCTTTCCCTGAGCCCCCCCTGCATACCTTTTCTTGCCTGCCTTCTGTCCCCAGGACCGTTCACGGTTCCACTGAGGCAACAGAGGTCTAGAGAAGGAAAGTGGTTTGGACAAGAGCACTCAGCAAGCCATGCTTGGGAGAACTCCTAGGTCTCCTCCTCCTGCTGGTTCTCCCTTTGATTCCGACCTGCAAATGCCTGTCTGTGCTTCGCGTAGTTTTCCGTGTTAGGGACTGCGTTGGGCCGTGCCCGGTTTATATGCCGAGCGACAGAAATCTGAGGAAGGACAAAAAAGCACACGTGGCTCCAGATCCTGGCTCCATCCCTTCAGCAGTTGTTAGGTTCACTTTCACAGCTTCTAGAACGCTCCCGTCCTACGTTGTCTCCTGCAGACAACGGCAATAGTATTTTGCTGGACTGTTGCTGTCGTGCAGGCTACAAAAGAAGATGATAGAAGGGCCGTAATATGTAGCCCCGGGTGGGTGCAAGACAGAAGTGTTGCAGCTCCTGCTGTGCTAGGAGCATAAAGAGCTTCAAAGGCAAGGATGTTAGGCTCCTACCCCACGTAGGGTTGCAGCTGCCCTGCACGAGGGGAGGAACAAACTCGAGATAGACCCCACAATTCTTGCAGGTCAGTGGTAAACATAAAAGAGTATAGGGGCGCCTGGGTGGCTTGTTCGGTTAAGCGTCCAACTCTTGGTTTCGGCTCAGGTCTTGATCTCACAGTTCGTGGGTTCGAGCCCTGCGTCAGGCTCTGCGCTGATGGCACAGAGCCTGCCTGGGATTCCCTCTCTCTGCTCCTCCCCCGCTCGTGCTGTGTCTCTCTCAAAACAAAGAAACTTAAAAAACAACTTGAAAAAGAGTATAATGGGGCGCCTGGGTGGCGCAGTCGGTTAAGCGTCCGACTTCAGCCAGGTCACGATCTCGCGGTCCGTGAGTTCGAGCCCCACGTCAGGCTCTGGGCTGATGGCTC